ACTGTGTTACTGGGAGAGGGCTTGATACAGCTGAAGTTGATGTGGTGGGTTTCTCCGACTTGACCCATGTCAAATCTGTCTGGCATGTAACTGATGATGTTGCTACGGGACGAGTGACAGCAGCAGAGTATGTCATATTAACTGGACTTGAAACCTCATTTGCAAGAAGTTTTTGCATCAAGATACGAAATGTTCTTTCTCACATTTTAATTTCATTATCTTTGACTCCTTTGCCACACAGGGCAGGATTTAGATGAGGCATCATGTGGGCCTTGGCAGTTCGTGCACTTAAAACTCTTGTCACAGTCTGTGTTGTCGTGGCTCTCACCACATCTATGACATACCACAGAGCCACGACAAGAGTTTGACCCATGACTAAACTTTTGGCATTTGTGTAACACCGAGTGGACTGGGACATACACGCCCAATTCGATATTAAAATATCCAGCTTTAATTGACTGTGGCAGTGAAGCACGAGCAAACGTCAAGAGATAAGTGTTCGTTTTTACAGTGGTACCTTCTTTCCTGATAGTGAAACGTTTGACTGCTGTCACACCCTGATCGTGAAGCTCTGCAGCAATGTCCTCCTCAGACATGTCAAACAGACAGCGAGCCCTGTCGCGAATGATACCACGACAGGAATTTAAAGTTCTGTGCACGGACACAGTAACCTCTATATTGGCGAAGGTTTTAATCGATAAGAGATTGAGAGATTGCTGTTTCCGTGCGCATTCCACCAGAAGGGAACCACTACGGAGACGGGTGAGGCATCAAGGTAAGAAATGTTTTTCTCGCATTTCAATCTCATTATTGAGGTCTCTTTTTGCCACGCAGGGCATGATTTTGAGGAAGCGCCATGTGGGCCATGACAGTTAGCACATTTAAACTCCTTGTCACAGTCTGTGCTGTCGTGGCTCTCACCACATCGATGACATATCACAGAGCCACGACAAGAGTTTGACCCATGACCAAACTTCTGGCACTTATAACACCGGAGCGGACTGGGGATATACGAGTCCACTCCGATATTAAAGTATCCTGCTTTAATGGATTGAGGTAAGGATGATCGAGAAAACGTCAAAAGATATGTGTTTGTTTTCACTATGATGCCTTCTTTCTTGACAGTGAAACGTTTTACAGCCGTCACAGCCTGATCATGAAGCTCGGCTGCAATGTCCTCTTCTGACATGTCTGACAGACAACGCCTGTCACGGATGATGCCACGGCAGGAATTCAATGTTCTGTGCACGGACACAGCAACGTCAATATTGGCAAATGTTTTGATAGATAACAATTGAGTGATTGCTGTTTCGTGGCACATTCGATCAGAAGTGAACCACTACGGAGACGAGTGACGTTCTTAACTTCACCACAAATGCCGGATACAGCCTTAGAAATGGCAAAAGGATTTAATTTTATCGGGAGAAAGTCAACAGCCTCGATAACAAGGAAACGAGACCAGGACTCATCATTGGGGAAATAGTTCTTGAAGATTCGTCCACAGTTTCATAACGCTTCTTTTTTCATTTCTAGATGAACCAGGTAGTTGTTGAGACATGGTGAAAGGAATTTGTTTCAGCACCCTGCTCCCCACCCACCACGGAGTGTCTACAAGGACGATGTCAATATGCAATCGGATCTCCAAGATGCTGACACCAGGGATACAGGGGTGTTATAATTCAGAGAATATGACGTGAACAGCTGTATTTGTCTACCAATTCAATGCCAAACTGGTTCAGAAAGTGAACAAGAAATTGAAGACATACATTATTCAGAGGTCAACATCACCAGATTGGCCCATGAGCCACCGCCTTCTGGCATAGGACTCTAGGCAATTTCATATAAATAATTTTGTACATTGAAAATCAAAAATGTCCAAGGCCCTATAATAACAACGCAAATAAAATAACCATGCACAGGGCTTGGCGCGACCAGCCGATTGATAGAACCGGGCCAGTTCTACCACCCGTCTAGGTGAAGTTAGGGCCGGAGTGGTGTGTTGGGCAAAAGGAACACGGTTCTAGGCTCCCAGTGCCCTCAACCACCAGACTACCTTCCTCCACCGACACAGGGGCGCAACCCACGGCAAACGGGTTGGTGGACCAAAATATGCCCCCCGGGTCCACAACGGGGGGTTGAAAGGCGCTTAGCGTTACCCAGCACCCACCACGAGGAGGTGGCCTTTCATGGGTGCCGCTTATCTCAGAACAGTTGAAGAATACCGCAATTTGGGTTTTCAAATCATATACCTTGATGAAACCTGGTGTAATAAAAATCACTCAACCGATCGGATGTGGCTTCCCTCAGATTGTAAGGCACTAGTGTTACCATCAGGCAAGGTAGGCGCCTGATCATCTTGCATGATGGTACCCGTAGCAAGGGAATGATTGGGGGTTGTGACTTTGTTTTTGAGGCCAAGAAATCTGATGGTGATTACCATAGCGAAATGAATGGGCAGGTATATTTGGATTGGTTCGACATCAGCTTTTACCGCCGCAGGGCGAACCAAGCGCTATCATATTCGATAACGCCAGTTACCATAACCTGCGCGTCCATGGTACCATCACACCCACCATGAGTAATCTCAAGGCTCAGTTGCAGGATTTTCACTTCCTGTAACGTGCCTTACAGCAATCAGAAACAAAGCCCCAGTTCATGGAAAACGTCCGGCAGCACAAAAAGCCAATCCAGTACATCACTGAGCTGATCTGGGGTAACTGTAAGAATTTATTTGCTAGCAATAATACCACATTCAAGCTTTCAGACTTTAAAGAGCTTGTGTATGCTTCTTTTGCGAGAATTACCCCAGAAGTGTGACAAAAGGCTGAAGACACTTGTTCTCAAAATCGAGGACGAATACCGTCTGCGGGACGGCGTTAACGTCAGCCGAGTTGCACCTGTTGTAATTCCGCTAGAGTCCTCGACCAGCAGTGATACTGACACTTGATATTTTGAGACGGTCCCTGACTGCCCGAGAGTTACATAACGCTGTTATCCTGTCTGCCTGCCAGGTGGGTCACAGTATAGTTTGTTTCTTTGAAGAGTTTCTCCCTTGATTTTTTTCTAAGTTTTTTTAATATTTTACGAATAATCATTATGATTAGGGAATGGTACATCGTGATTACTCATATGCCATATTAGGTCGAGGTAGTATGAATGATTATATATGAGTTTTGAAGCTGAAATATCAACCATTATCACATAATTGCCAAAAAAAAGCATTTTCCAAGCATTTCTGGTCTTACTTTAGTAACCTGTGGTAGTAACTCAAGGCAAGTTGATGAATCTCAGATTCAGGTGTGGAGCAACAAGCACCCTGAGTGGTTTTGTTCATATTATCTTTGACTGGTTGTTTATGGTTTAGAGGCAGTTACATACTTTTAGAATATTGTTGGAATATTAAGTGAGGTGTTAAACATACTGTGCAGAAATGCACGGAGCTAGAGGCATACTCTAGACACACTAAAGAATCGAGTTATATTGAGATCACAGTACCTAACCTGCGAACATCCGGCTTAGAAATTGTCTTAGACAACCAATGTTTGTCAAAGTATGCAAGGGGACTGATTTTCATCACATTGATGAACCCCACAAGCAATTGTATCGTGCTGACAAACTTAGAAATACATCATTAGTCAGACATTGGACTAGCTTTCGGATGAACCTGAGGGACACAACTCTGACAAGCCAACTGTGGAACCTGTGGAGCTCTCTCTCCAGATTTAGTAATCTGATACATTCTGTGGCTAGTTCCATATCAACAAGAATTTGGGAGGGTGGAGGGTGTCATACTAATTACTGGATAACACATTAACTGCTTCATAGAGATACTAAAAGATAAAGACCTTTCTAGCATTTGGCTAGGACTATAGAGCGTCATCAAGGTATTCTCCTTGGTAGGCAACATGTTCTAATGTCATCTCGGATAGCCATTTAAGATAGTTGCCAAAAAGTCTGATTTTCAAATAATTTCGGCATGACCACTGAAAATGAAAAAAATAACACATACATCTAATGTTCTGAACAAAATATGATGTCCTCGTCAGCGTGAAAACACACACACACACACACAGAGAGAGGGAATTTTCATATAATAGGCCACTTTACCCTCATAAGTGCGAAACACACACACATACACACACATTGTTGATTGTCAAGAAGATGTAACTACAATTCACAGATGCACTTTCACCATACCTTCTTGGACGTTGACGGTATCTTGGTTTGCATCGGAAAGCTACTTTAGGTGGGAGATGGTGGGTGGGGACTATTTTCGAGACAAAAAAGTATAAATATCCACAATTATATGTGAAAAAAACCGACGTAAGAGAATGGTCCCGTATATTGTCTATTTTCGTCATATCTTCCTTTATTTCTGTGCATAGAAGAAAATACTAAGGAAATACGTTTGGTATACCTAGATTGCATGCATATAGATAGTAGCATGCTTGTTTCCATTAGTTTTCTAAATCACATAATCATCATTCACAGATGCACTTTCACCATACCTTCTTAGACGTTGACGGTATCTTGGTTTGTTAAGTGTCTCTGAAGACATATTTTTATTAACTTAAGCCAAATATCACACCTTGACAAGCACTATTTCATGGAATATACATGTCTGATGCTTTTAGAGATGATATAGACATTACGTCCCTTGAACAATATTTCGGTCATTCTAGATGTGTCATCCAATAGTGAGTGGGCTGACCATTTTGATTGACATAGAAAAAAAAGACAAGTACAGCAAGAGAAAGACAGTGGGATTATGAAAGATCCCTATCTAGTCTGGATTTTAGTCTACCATTTGACCAATGAGAATGGTAGGCACATACCTTACCATTTGAACAGCTGCCGTGGTTTAAAGTTCAACATGGTGGCTTCTGTGAGGTTCTGAGCATTTTACCACAAAGAATATAAAATAATATTTTATCAAATGTTTTTGTGAAAGAAATGATTTTTAAAATTGTGAATTTCTGAAAACTCACACTTACACGAAATGTCTTTTTCTTCCCTCTTTCTAATGTCTTCCTGAATGTACACAATGTAAGTTCTGCCTTCTGCCTGATGCGCCCACAGTAGGCAAAGTGCCGACACTGCAAGTCAATATGCCATCTTTATTACTTTATTATTGACGCTTGAAATAAAACGGTTCATTAGCTCGAAAGCTTTTGCAATTGATCAACAAATATCGAACAGTTTGTTACTCACACAAGTAATATTTAGTGAACAATTATCTTTTTGATCAACACATAACAATGAGAAACACAAAACAGTCTAAAACACGTTGCTTTGTATAATAATTATACGTACCTTCTTCACAGTTGATATAATTTCAGGATACTTTCTTAGTGCTGCTCCATGCACAGCCAGGGTTCCAAACTTTGATATAGCTTTCAAACACTGTGGCAAGTTCTGTAATGAAAGACTTCTCCTTGCGCTAATCCGTTTAAACATTTACGCAATGATGAAGTAGATCTATCACCATTTTAAAACATGGTTTAAGAAAAATAGGTGAAATACAAACTTGCGTGAATAACAAGATATTTCAAAACTAAATTATGATAGCTCAACGCAAAACTATTCTTTAATGCAAAACGTCATAGTATGATGCTTGAGGCCACTGCGTCTTGAACAAAGGAAACCTGGCGTAACTATTAAGATGGTTTTTTTTATCGAACTATGTTTAGTTATTATCATTTAGTTATTAGCTCATTATCATCAAAATGTTGCTGAAAAAAAACTAAGATCACAATCAAACCTGTTTTCCCAATTGAAGAGAATTCCTAATTTCTTTGTCAATACAGCTTAGCTTGATAACCGTTTTGTGCACTGAAATAAATATTTATCCATAATTATAAAAAGTGTGTTAGCGGAGGTTCTCAGATTTCTTTGTCATAAATATGTTTGCATATAGACACTATGTATAGATCAAAGCTGACTTTCACTGAGCAGTGTAAATGCATGGAGATACAATCACGTCCGGGTAAATATGTGTAGATATTTGGGATATAACCTATGAATACATATATTTTACAGTACCTTCCAAAATGAGGAGCACAATCATATTATGTGCTGAGATTATCAAGCAACTGCATGTATTTTCTCTTGCTGTTAAACTTACTTGTTTGACGTTGATATATAGCCTAGCAACTAAACTAACATTCAAAATTACGACTGAACATGTTCAATTATAATGGTATATCTTCTTTAAACTACTTGACACATTTCTTTATCAGCGGGTAATTTTCCGCCAGCAAGTTATCAGAGTGGGCACGTCATAGCGTATCAAATTACAACACTGCCTTCGCGATTTTTCCATACTGCACTAAAAACAAGGGACTAAACTGAACGTATTACTTGATATTGTAGCCTACAATCATTTTTAATATAAACCTGAAGGCTGCTTCTCACTATATATTAGACATGGCTTCTTTTCCCGGAATTACCGCATTTGAGGTTTTTGTTTGCTCCCAGGTTTACTTTTCGTTAATAAGACCTATTTCCCGGTTTTCCTTTTTGTAAGTAAGACCTCTTCCCAGGTTTTACTTTTTCCCAACTCTATATTAACATCAACATTCAAATTCAGATGATATGTAAGGGTTTGAAATCAATTGGAAAATATCGTCAAACATCAACTTAAATGAGCAAATGTTTTCCCTAGCAGGTTTGGAACCGTATATTTCAAAATCATAAGCGGTCGCTCTACCTCACAGCCACCGGGCCGACAAAGAATGAGGGTTGAATTATCTATTTATAGTTAGGCCTACTGTCATTCAATTGATTTTGCTAGCGCTTCAGTTACTGTTATGTAGCTTCATTACATGATCATCCAATTATCCATCATTGACGGTTTATATGTATAATAAAGCACTCCTCCTCGGTTATGGTTGGGAAAGTAAGCCCTCGACCATCGGGTGGAGAGTCTTACTTCTCCCCACCCTCCGGTCTCGGGTTATGGTTGGGAAAGTAAGCCCTCGACCATCGGGTGGAGGGTCTTACTTCTCCCCACCCCCCGGTCTCGGGTCTTACTTTCCCAACCATAACCTCGGAGTTGTGCTTTATTCTACTCATAATGTATTGTTGATTGTCAAGAAGATGTAAATACAATGTGATAATACAATGTAATAGCCTAATTAGGGCTCCTTCCCACAAGGGCAGGAGACCCATTGGAATCGTTAATATTTTTATTGTTATTTATTACTCCGTCGTATTTTATACCACTCGTACAAAAAGCACCGCTGGACAGAATCGCTTGACCAAAATCACCAAGGTGCCGACAGTGCTGAAGTTGTTTCTGCAAAAATCTCAAGGCTCTAGGCCCAATAGTAAAGGGGAGATAATTCAAAATTAATTTTAAAAATTCAATTTCCAAAGCAATAATCTCCGAAACTACAAGTCCAATGGCTACCATATTTCTGGAGCAGCTCTGGAATCCGATTACCTTTAATTGCAACTGCAGGATCTATGGGGCTACGAGGCACCGTTTGGCCGCCATATTGGATTTAAGGAAATTTCATGTTTTTGACGGGTAGGCATTTCCGCAATCCATAACTCTGAATGTTTAATGTCAAGAACTTTGCACATTTGCACATATAGAATATATACATCCGATATGAATATCCTCGAGCTATGTTGCGATATCTTGATTAGTTACGGATATCTAGATTTTTGGTCTTGTTGTTTATTTTTTATTAAAATGTATCTTTAAAGAATCGCAGCGTCATTACTATTTCAACTAAGCAGCTAGAATCTGGCAGCATGCAGTGACTTGATGCGCTGAACATTTGTCACATGTCATGTGTCTGTGCATCTGATAGCTGAAGTCCTGGCGATTCCAGAACGCTAATTGTTTTAACTGTAGACCCAAGGACAACGGAGCTACAGCATGTCAAAGAGGGAACTATTTCTTCTCCGGATCTTCTTAAAAGGTACATCACCCCCGGCGACCAGGGGTCAATTTTCCAGTTCTCAGAGCTCATGTTCTCCAGCTTTAAACACCCGTAACTATGAAACAACCATCCGATTATGACCAAAATGTGGATATGCATTTATGCTGCCAGTGCAAGTTGTTTTTACCAGTTGCAGCAATATAGCTTCAAAGACAACGGAGGGGCAAATAATATTCTGTTTTGCTCACCACAACTGCTAATCATGATTGGTTCTCTACTGTGGGCTATGAAAATTGTCAGTGTATATGTATATGGTTTGCTGATCATTTTTTATTCTAAGGTACATGTTAAAAGCATTACCGTTTGTGGGTTAGATACATATGTATTTGTGGGTGTTTGCGGTAGTTGCGTTATGCTAGCTGAAGGAAGCGCGAGTAAAATCTTTCAATACCACCCACTCGCCGGCTTTACCCAAAGAGTAATGCGCTTTCAGTAACATTTGGGTTTTCTGCAGTTTGCATGGATTTTAAAACTTCATAGGGCCTAAAAAAAAAGAAGCTTGTGGTTCCGATTTCCCGACCGACCCTAAATATTCCCGCCGAGCCTAACAATTTTACTCACCACATAATAAATTAAATTTATTTTCTGACCCATGAGTAATGTAAAAATATTTTGCAAAAAAACCCCCAAAACCCACCTACCTACCCTAGTTCTGAAATGTAGGAAATCGGAAACATAACATTTATTTTTTTTGGGCCTAGGTGACCTGTATCGAGGTGTTACGTGTATTTCCAGTATATATACCTGCTCTCAATTCACAAAATCAGTTGCAACAGTCCGAGTGTAACAGTGTGATGGATACTGATACAAACTACTGAAGTACCTTAACTGCTGTGAAATCACAAGTTCACTTGCGTGAGAGTGAGTGAGTGAGTTTAGTTTTACGCCGTACTCAGCAATACTCATGCTGTATGGTGGCGGTTTGTAAATAATCGAGTCTGGACCAGACAATCCAATGATTATCAGCATGCCTATTGATCTGCGCAATTGGGAACCGATGACATGTGTCAACAAAGCTCAGTGTGAGAGAAACAGCGTTGTGGATATTGGTACATGCTACACAAATACAGAGTACAGGCACTTCGTGTCACATTTCAACTTGGCTGTTGTTTATATTTAAATGGAAATGGTCTCTACAATAATGAAAATAAACACCATAAACAACCACATAAACACTAACTACCTTTCCCACACCCACATCTACACAGACGCATCCA